TCTCATATCGGGGCTGATTTTATTTTCGTACACCTGGAACTACTATCTGCTAGTTTTATCCAAATATGTTGGATATGAACTTGAAAGTGAGCTTGTGCAGTAACTGAAAAACTAATACGTTTGTGCCAATAAGAGGTTTTATTTATCGAACGTGGATGGTTTTCCCTCTCATTTTTAATGGAAACCTAAGAAGCTTGATGGCAGCTTGAATAATGACTGTTCCCGGATGAAAACCGCGAAATTTAGTTGCTGCTTACAAGGAGATAGTGGCCGGGCAATTTGCAAATGCCTGCTCATCTCTTTCTCTGTCCATTTCAGCTAACAGCAAATTTTTTGTATTTGTGAAATGTACGTTCTTCACTTAGTGGAGATGTGATGGACAGGGTGATTGCTGAAATACAGCGAAATTTATGTTGCTTGGAGGATAGACAAATGAGTATAGGCAAAAACTTAACCCAGTGATGTGGGCGTGAATATCCCTTTTTCTCACTGGCAGCATGTCAATTTTTCGTTCGTTAAATGAGTTTTTTTGTTAATAATTATCAGTAATGGTTTCTAATCCAGCAGAGAATTTGTTTTCAGCAGAAGTGCATTCTTAATTCCAAAATTTTCAGGGAAATTTTGCACCCATTCTCGGCTTATTGTAAAAAAATGAGCAAAAAATTAATATTTTCCTGTAGGCAGTACAGCGAACATTTAGTCGATGGTGGTATGATGTCCTGGAAAGCTGTCAGGAAGCTGTACAGTATTGTAGCGCCGATCTTATTTGCTTAATCCATGCAGTTCGAGAAACTATTCGTAGTGATTCGGATCTCTCTTATCGCACAGTTGACACGCTTTCAGCACTTACTGTCGCTGAACATGCTCTCTCCGGTGCAGGTTGATATAAAATTTTTGGAAGTGAAAAAATTTGTGGATTACTAGTTTTTTTTTCAAACTCCTTGTTTTATGCTTTGCGTTTTTTGTGACTAACGCATACTTGCGGCCATACAAGTACGATGGGAGTCATGCTGCTGGCTTTACTGATAACTGGTGATTGTTACGCGTTAGCGAGTTGCAAAAGACTGAAACAGAAAGGAGAAAGTGGTAAAGACGGCCGACCTCCTACTCCTTATCTCAGCTGTCCTGTGCTCTCATGTGTTATGCAACTCAAGTTCCCCTTTGTGATATAAAAGTGATATTATCAGAAATGTTTTGAGATCGATATTATTCCCCAGTATTTTGTTGTGGTGGCAGTGCAGTGCTGACTTCCCGGTCGTGTTTGTTTCATTAAATGAAGATAGAAGTAAGAATAGAATAATAATAATCACAGTGAAAAACAAAATTGTGATAATGATATCAATAATCATTGTTATTAGTGTCGCTTCTGCCAGTATTAATATTGTTATTATTATCGTTGTTATTATTTGTAATTATTATAGTATTTTTATTTGTTATTATAGTAATGGTGATAGTGAAAGTAATAGTAAGAGAAACAGTAACAGTAACAATGATATAGAACCGTGATATAGTAGGGGGTGAAGC